CTGCCAATCGAACACGCTCTTGACACTGAGTGCAGCCAGTGCACCCCAATCGAAAACGCTAAAAGCTAATCAATGCACTGCTCTGAATCAGTGCTAACCAATTCGATTGGCTTCACTTCAGAGCAAAGAGTTCGGCTACAAAAATGATATTGTTTGCGAATTCGATTACGAAACGGTTAGTTATATTAATGAATTACATGTATTTTTATTTTTACCTAAATACCGATATATCTTACATTTAATTGTTAATTGTTAATTGTTAATTGTTTAAAAATTTCTGAATTTTCATATAATAATTGTAATTTATTAAATGTTTCTCTCTTTAGACGAAGGTATCGTTGAAACTACAATAAATATATTAATTAGGTTATAATATATAGTTTTAATTATACAAATATCACGTACATTATAAATTTGTGTTAAGAGGGTAGTCTGCTTTACAAGGTCAAAAAAATCGATTTTTTTTATTGCTTAAATCGATAGATAAACTATCCAAGAATAGATTCCCAAAAGGATATTCTAATCCTATCCAAAGTATTTGTGACGGCCGAGAGCAGGTAGGCGCGGAGCGCCTACCTGCAAGCGACGAACGAACTGAAAAATTTTAAACACGATGCTCCATTAATTAACAGCGATATCGAGAAACATATTTGCCCAATTTACAAAGATCTGTCGAATAATGACCTTTCAACGCGATGTCTTGGTGGTCATACTCAAAACCCAAACGAATCATTCAATTCAACGGTGTGGCATATGGCGCCAAAACATTTACATTCCGGCAAAAAAATTGTCCAGATAGCTGCATATATGGCCGCAGGCATTTTTAATGAGAGATACTTATCCATCCTGATGACAATGCAGCTGCTGGATTTACGCATTGGCCAGCAATGCAAATTATAATTTGCAAATAATTATTTGCCGATACTACTGACGAATAGCGGATTGAGCGAAAGAACGCGCGGCAGTCACTCAGCAGCAAAGAGGCCAGGACAGCTCGAAGAACCAAACAAATTCATCTTCATGAATACTACGAGGAAGCTGAAGGCCTCTTATATGGTGCAGGAATCGCTGATTAGCAGATTATTGATGTAAGTAGTCAATAAATCAAACTTTTTCCGACCGCAAACTTTAAAGCGTGTTTTCTCGAGTTTTCATTTTTACGATTTTTCCTAAACTGCGTGCACGATAGCAAAAAAAAAACATTTGACCGATCGACAAAAACCAAAGTGCATTCTCTTCACAACTAAATTCCCTTGAATATGAACTAAAAAAATTATTAAAAAAGTCTATTTTAATAATTTTTACATCATGTCAAAGTCAAATTTAAACATGTAAAAATGCATAATTTGTGTTCAAACTACAAATAATTATCATTATGCCTCTTTTTTCGGAATTTTTTTAGTTTATATAGAAGATATACATGTCTAAATTAATAATCCGTTTAATTTTTCATTTCAGACAAGAATTGCGAGCGGCATCGTGTACGCAGATGGACAACTCCAGAGCCGGGGCGCTCCACACAATAGCCTCTACATCCACCATTTTCTATTAAATTGTTCCATAAAAATTCACTTTATACCCTTTGAACACATATTAAAATGAGGCATAAACGTTTAAAAAGCTTAATTATTTTTTCCCTTCTAAAAAAATTCCCAAAGTATTGCTATTTTTTGGCCTTGTAAAGCAGACTACCCCCTTAATTTGGAATTTTATAATTATCAATAATAATAATAATAATTTTATATAATAATAATAATAATAATA